TAAACCCTAAACCCTGAACCGTTTGGAGCTTCGGGGGTGGGGGCCCAAAAATGCGCTCCTACCTGCAGAGATGCAGGGAGCGCGTCGCTGCACCCTGTGCTCCAACGGAGGGCCTGCGAGGGCTTAGGGGTTTAGGGTTTAGNNGTTTAGGGCTTAGGAGTTCAGGGTTTTAGGGTTTAGGGTTTAGGGTTTAGGGCTTAGGGTTTAGGGCTTCGGGCTTGGGGTTTGGGGTGTGGGGCTCACCTGAACCCTAGCAAACCTCCGTTTTTAGCTGTCCTGAAGTTGACTTTATCATGTGAGAAATCCCTCAAAAGGCAGGTTCTTTATGGTTGAGATAGAAGTTAGGGAGTTTGGGGTTTAGGTTTAATTTAGGGCTTCGGGATTGCTTGGAGTTTCTTCAGGGCTTAGGGTTTATTTAGGGCGTACTGCATGTACTGAAGGTTCAGAGCTTATTTCGGGCTCTGGGTCTGTCTCAGCTGCGTATTTTTGAACCTAAAAAGGCCTTGAAGCTTCGGATTTTGCTTGTTTCCAACTAGGACCTTAGTTGCTGGGTTCATAAGCCCAGAAAAGTGTACACTTTCAGTTTTATAGTAGGTAATATTATCCCAAAAAGTGCAAAGTGTATCCACTCAGCTACTGAAGGACAATGCAAGACGGAACATTGACGTCCGAACCTGCAACACCAGGGCCACTCCAACTGCTCTCTCTGCATCTCAGATTCTCAGAGAAATAGAGATGGAGATGGAGATAGAGATGAAACCCTAAACCCGAAACCCTAAACCGTGGAGATATATGATATGTGTGCACATACATGGCATGCCCTAACCCCTAAACCCTAAACCCTAAACCCTAAACCCTAAACCCTAAACCCTAAACCCATCCATACAGACAGGCTGACTGACCGACCGCCCTGTGAGTCGGTGCCTGCCGCGCGAAACTCCACTCGGGTTGGCCGTGCTGGAAAAAGATTCGAGTGCTAAGCACCGCGATCAGCCTTTTTGCTTTTGGGCTTTTGGGCTTTGGGCTTTAAGGCTCAATATACTGTAAGGGGCCGTAATAAGTAAAAAATAGGGTTCTGGGCTCCTTTATTGTGCAGTTGTAACAAGGAGCTCTCGGGGTTATAGGGCTTCCGGATCGGGATTCATAAGAGCTATCATTTCTGGGCTTCGTAGCTTGAGCTGTAATGGCTGACTTTCACAGTTCTACAATGGCTATCAGCCTCTTGGGATTTAAGCTTTAGCTTGACATGGTGTCATGGCTTGCTATCAGCCTTATGTGGTCCGTTAACCGTTCTGGCCTGGCGCTTTAAGGCACAATCTATGTAGGGTCGGGATCTTTAAGGCCAATCGTCTATCAACCTTTTGGCTGAAGGAGTTAAGTCTTTATAGTGCTTCGGCTTATGTTTTACTGCAGGGCCCCTGATAATTAGATAGCGTTTTGGTGTGTTTATATATATATATATATAATGTATATGTAAGCCGAAACAAATGTAGAGGACTTTAGCGTCTAGGGTGAAGGGGCTCTATAAGGGCTACCAGCCTTTTAGCTTGAGCCTTCATCTATGTGAAGGCTTTAGGAGCTTAGCGTCTGGTGTTGCTAAACAGTGGATTAAGATCTACATAATTTAGGAAATGCTTGCTTTCAGGGCTTCGGGGCTTTCTGAGGGTTTATAGCGTTTGGCAAGGGATTTCACAAGACTTCAATTGCTTTCGATTGGTTTTTGGCCTTGGTTCTGAAAGAATCTACAGCTTACGGCCACGGCCTAAACTGCAGATTCTTTCCGGACCCGGAATAAGAAGGGCTTGGTGCGTTTAGGGTTTAGGGGTTCAGGGGTTTTGCGTCATCTCAAGGCTCTAAGGCTCGAAAGCCTAAACCCCTAAACCCCTGGCGGCTGCTTGGCTTGGTGCGGCCTAAGAACCGGAAAAGTCTGAAGGGCCGCTAGAAGACCTAGAATCCTTCCAGAATGTCCTCGACTAGAGTCTAGAGTTTAGGGTTTTGGGCGTTAGGTTTTTGGCTTGAGGCTTTGGGGCTTCAGCTTTCTAAACCCTAAACCCTAAACCCGGAGGGTCTCGAGCAAGCGGCATCACCACGCCGGTGGTGAGGCCACGGTCCCAATTGGAGAAGTCCGCCATGTTCGCGGCCGAAAGGGGAGCTGCTGTCCCCAAAAAGATTCGGAACCCTAAACCCTAAACCCTAAACCCTAAACCCTAAACCCTAAACCCTAAACCGTTAGGCTTTGAGAGCTTAGGGTTGCGTAGGGTTTGAGGCTTCGGGGTCGAGGCTTTTGGGATATTGGGGGGTTGAACAAAGGGTTCAGTTGAGGCTGAGAGCTTTGGGGTGTGTGAGGTTGAGGGCTTGATAGATTGGGTCTATGATGTGGGCGCTACTAGCACTGGCTCTTCAGGCCAACTCCTTTTCTGTTGAGGGCCTCTTCTTCTTCTTGAGACTAGTCGAGGATAAACCCTAAGCCCTAAACCCTAAACCCCTAAACCCCTAAACCCCTAAACCCTAAACCCTAGACCCTAAACCCTAAACCCTGGACCCTAGACCCTAAACCCTAAACCCAAGACCCGAAACCCTAAACATT